CCCAAATCCATTACTGACCATCCCACATCCCAGTTAATTCATCAGCTCTTAGGTGCTTTCCTATCAGACAGGAAGCATAAAAACATGCATGTAATTACCTGTTGCAGGTTTAAAAATTATATATTTCATGAAACAACTCAAATTGTTCTGTTGGGTGAGCCAGTTTTCTCCAGGATAACATATGGGTCTAAATTCTAGAAGCAATTAACATTTATTATACAGAACCAATTAGGTGGCAGGCATTATGCTAAGTAAACCTTTTGCGCCTACACTTAATCTTCACACCAGCCCTTGGAAGGAGCTATTTTTTTTTAACTTGTGTTTTAAGTTCAGGAGTATATGTGCAGTTTGTCATATAGGTGAATTTTTGTCCTGGGGGTTTGTTGTACAGATTATTTTGTCACCCAGGTATTAAGCCTATACACAATAGTTACTTTTCCTGATCCTCTCCCTCCTCTCACTCTCCACTCTCCAACAGGCCCCAGTGTGTGTTGTTCCCCTCTATGTCCATGTGTTCTCATCACTTAGCTTCTACTTACAAGCGAGCATACAGTGTTTGGTTTTCTGTTCTGGTGTTAGTATATGAACAGACACTTTTCAAAAGAAGACACACATGTGGCCAACAATTATATGAAAAAAGCTCAACATCACCGATCATTAGAGAAATGCAAATCAAAGCCATGATAAGATACCACCTCACATGAGTCAGATGGCTATTATTAAAAAGGAACATAGTTACTTTTACTTCATCTTAGAGAAAAGGACCTGATTGTCAAAAAGGCTAAGTAACTTGTTGATATGGTTTGGCTATGTCCCCACCCAAATCTCATCTTGAATTGTAGTTCCTGTAATCCCCATGTGTCATGGAAAGGACCCCTCCTGGGGGAAACTGACTCCTCCACCGGAAGCTGGACCAGGGAACGCTCTGTTACAAGGTTTTTACAGGCCCACACGAGGGAAATTTCCAGGGTGGCTGTAAACCAGATGCTATTTCACCCCTATGTCTGACTCCCAACCAAGGCACCAGCCAACTGACCCTTCTCCCATACTCCACCCCTATTCAGCAGGAAGTAGCCAGAAAGAAGCAGCGTCCTATATCATCCAAAGGGTCGGAATGGCTCCCCTGGAAGGCTCCAGCTGATGCCAGCTCTCCCACTGGAAAAACCCGCCCAACAACCAGCCAACCAATAGCGGCCCAGCCCATCTCAATCCCGCTCCCCTGGAGTCAATTAGAGCACCCAGCTGTTGCTCCTTCCTCCTAGCCATAAAACCCCCACAGCCCAGGAAGTTGGCGAGATTTCCCTGGCCCTTTTCCCCGGGACCATGGAACCTCGCCTGGGAGCTGAATAAATTGGATTTTCATTTAAAAAAAAAAAAAAAAAAAAAAAAGTGTGAAGTAACTGAGTCATGGGGGCAGTTATCTCCATGCTGTTCTTGTGATATTGAGTGAATTCTCCTGAGATCGATGGTTTTATACAAGGCTTTTTTCCTCTTCCCTTGGCACTTCTCCTTCCTACCACCATGTGAAGAAGTACGTGTTTCCTTCTCTTTCTGCCATGATTGTAAGTTTCCTGAGGTCTCCCCAGCCTTGTGGAACTGTGAATCAATTAAACCTCTTTCCTTTATAAATTATTCAGTCTCTGTTATGTCTTTATCAGCAGCTTGAGAACAGACTAACACACTTGACTAAGGTCACACAGCCACACAGTGGAAATAGGGCTGAGATGTCTGTCAGGCACCAAAGTCTTTGCTCTCAAATCACTCTGCTGTTAACTCATGTTTCTCTGGCACTTCCTCCCCCATCTCATGCAGAACTCTCATCCCCTAAATGTGCCCCTAATACTTAAGGGTGTCCCAAGGAAATGTCTTACATGAATCCTCCAAGTCAGCCCTCCTATCAGCTCTCAAGGGTCATCCATCATTTCTTCACCCTTCTCCTGTTTCTGCCTGTACAACCTAAAAATGAAGTATCAGGCAGTAATCTCCTCTGTGGTAAGCTTGGAAATAAAAAGAAGAGAGAAGTTCCCTGGACACGCTACCAGCACCACCATGGTTTCCTTGGTACTTTACTTTATTTGATGTAGAAGTTGGATGTTTGAAATGGAAATAGGTGAAGGAGTTGAAGTGAAACTTCTCATCTGACAGCTTTTTAAAGCCCCTGCCTACTTGGGGCAGTTGTGCCTTCCCTGAGCCTCACGTTCCTTTGTTGCAATGTAGAAAGGATGCCACCTTCTTCACAGGACTGTGCTGTGTCTTGAATGAAATACACTGTGCAAAATACCTGACCTCATGGTTAGCACCTTCTAAAGCTAAAACAAAATGATGTTTCTTCTCACCCAAATTCTTGTTCCATATGAAGACATAGCTTCCAATGTTATTGGCAGTTAATCAGTAAACACACAGTACTGTTTGTTGAGTGATTACAATGTTCAAACAAGTTCTTGTTTAGGAGAGTGTAAAAATTACATATAGAGGACTAGAGATCACATGTAAAATTTTTATGAAAATCAATGTAATGTGATCAACATACAATTATACTTGGACATAATATGGTTTTGTCAAAATTTTCTCTATACTGGTATTTGTGATAAAAAGGATCATAGCAGCTTGTGCCTGGCCTAAACTGATTCGAACACATTTCTAAATGAGATGTAGATTGAGTCACTTGCCAGCTACCTGGAAATGTGGGCAAAACCTCCTTAATCTTGGATGAAAAAACTGTGTGAAGATGTTTAACAAGTAAAACCATCATAAGACTGCAACTAGGCATCCTGAGAATTTCCAAAGATTCAGCCTGGCCAGCCATGGTCATCCAGGGCCCATGGCCCTTGATGCTCCAGGGGGGCTGCCCATGTGCGGGTATGCTGAGGAGTCAGGGAGGGACAATTCACCCAGGCTTGACACAAGCTGCATGCAGAGCAGGGAAGTTCTAGACCACATGCTTAATTTGTTTTGGAGGATGATTACCTGGTTCCCTTTTAGTCAAGTTATTTCACATTGATGAAAACTAGAGCTTTCTCACACCTGCCTTGTTTCCTCCTCAGGTACAAGGTCAACATGACTCAAAAAGGTTCCTTTGCCTCTGAGAGCTACTGAGTCTACAGAAACATTCTGAATGGGAAAACTCAACTGAGTTTTCAGGTGATTTCTTTTCTTCTTCCTTTTGGCTCATTTTTTATTTGTTATACTTTTCAATTACCTGTGATAATTTGCTAGAAAGAAGTGATCTACATTTTTCAAAAGCACTGCCATATTCTCACAAGTTAAAAGGTTAGATTTTTTTTTCCTTCCTCTAATTAGGATGGGCTAAATTATTTTTTAGAAACAACAACAAAAACCCTTCCAGATTGATTTGTTACCTAGAGTTTTTTTTTTTTAATGTTATTTATTCTTTCTCTCTTCTATCTTCTTCTTTTTTCTTAATTTTTTTCTTTTTCTTCCTTTCTTTCTTTCCTTCTTTCTCTTTCTTTCTTTCCTTTCTTCCTTCCTTCCCTCCCTCCCTCCCTCCCTTCCTCCTTTCCTTTCTTCCCTCCCTTCCTCTCTCCTTCCTTCCTTCCATCCATCTTTTCTTCCTTCTTTCCTTCTTATCTCTCTCTCTTTCTTTCTTTGTAAGTATCTTCTGCACAGCTAAAACAAAATATTGCTTTCTTTTCATTTTGGGGGTTGGGTAATACCAAGTTTCTTTTATGCTGCTCTAACAAAATACCATAGACTGAGTAATTTATAAAGAAGATAAATCTAGTTTCTCACAGTTCTGGGGACCAGGAAGTCCAAGATCAAGGAATCAGCAGGTTTGGTTGTCTGGTAAGGACTGTGTCCTCTGGAGGGGAGAATACTGTGTCTTCACTGGTTGGAAGACAGAAGGGCAGCCTACTGATCAACAGCTGTGTGGAGCTTCTTTTATAAGGGTCTTAATCCCATTCATAAAGGAAGGCACCTTCATGATCCAGTTACCTCTGACAGGCCCCACTTCTTAATACTATGACGTTGGCAACACCTGAATTTTGGAGGGGATATATTCAAGGCATAACACTGAGTATTTTGATGGGAAACCTCTCCTAGAGAATCCATAAATGACCACAGGATTTAAAGTGCAAATTCATGAAAACATTAAAGTTGCTTACAACTATTTGTTGTACGCTTTATCCTAGAGGCCTTAAAAGTATTTAGTAAAACTAATGCAAACAAAGTAGATTAAAATTACACTTCAAAGTTTATTGGAGGCTTCATTAATAAACCAGTGTCTCACAGGGAAGTCACCAAATAACAAGAATAGCTAACTCAGAATTTGGGATTAAACTATGAAACAAATAGTGTTTTCATTTCAAATAGAAGGAAGTGGGCAGTGAAGAAAAAGCGATTCCATTTAGACACACAAAGGTGAGAGGGGACTGGCCGCCTGGTGAGTGGCTCCCGCCTGTAATCCCAGCACTTTGGGAGGCTAGGGTGGAGCAAATGGATCATCTGAGGTCAGCAGTTCAAGACCAGCCTGGCCAACATGGCAAAACCCCATCTCTACTAAAAAACACAAAAATTAACTGGGCATGGTGGCGAGTGCCTGTAATCCAGCTACTCGGTGGGAGGCTGAGGCAGAATTGCTTGAGGCCTGGAGGCAGAGGTTGCAGTGAGCCGAGATCACGTCACTGCACTCCAGCCTGAATGACAGAGCCAGACTCCGTCTCAACAAAAGCAAAAGTGAGAGGGGTTGTCTTTACTGTCCTCACTGTCACCCTTCACTTGTAGATTATTCTCCACTAATATATTTTTGTGATTCTGTGGCAAGAGCGCAGAGTCCAGCTCCATGGCCAAGATCATTATCTGATCCCCCCTATTTTAAAGACTCCCCTGGGTGCTGAAGACATGTCGTTTCCTTCCTCAGGCTGTCAGTGGAACCATGGGGCTGAGTCACGTCTGCTCACAGCTGCTGCTGTTCGCATCCCTGGGCACTGAGGTCTGAAACTCCACCCTGGCAGGGACCAGCCTGACCCCCCCTGAAGGAAATGGCTGGACAGCTTCAGCAACAGCAGATGAAAACTTCCTTCCTCTTCATCCAGCTGCAGGCTCCTCCAGCCTGCGCTCTCCCCACCCCGTCTCCAGCGGCAACCCCAGGGGGCCTGGAGGAGGGACACAGTTTCCCAAGTCCCAGGACAGACTTCTTGGCAGGCTGGGACCTCAGACGCACACAGAGCTCAACTGCCCCTCCTTTGAGGCTGCTGCAGAAGGCAGGCCCTGAGACGAAGAAACCAGCTGCTTTCACTTGCTGTGCTCCAAAGGAAAAGAAGGAAGGGAGGAAAATATCCCAGGGTCCGGACGTAAGCAGGGGTGGTGTTTGCAGACCCCCACATCATAGGCATCGCCAGGCCCCTGCCTCTAAGAAACTGAGCTGGCTACAGCCCCTGGCATGGAGGTTTCCTAGCCCAGCTCCCGTCATGAGCAATGGAAGCAGCAGTCCCTCCATGGGCTGGAAGCATGGGCTGATCACTTCCGCTACCCAGGACCTGTGGGGCATGGATCCCCAATGCAGGGATGCCTTGGGATGCTCCCCTCCGCAGGCTGTCCTGGTCCACGTTGCAGAGGGAGGGGGAAGGACTATGCTGAGGAGAAGTGCTGAGACCTGCCAGATACTCCCCAGGAGCTGTAAGGAGGACACAGGTACCACGGTGCAGGCGACGAGGGCACGGCTCTACAGGTACTGTCCAGCTGTGCACATCAGCAAGAGCTGCCCAGCTCCACCTGCCACTCTGCCTCTCAAGGTAAGAACTCATGCGGCCTGAATCCTACCAGAAGAAAGGGAGCCAGGGGGCAGACATGCCACCCTGGTCCCCACTTTCTGGCGTTGCTTCTCTCCTCTGCTTGGATGGGCCACACCTCGACAGCAGAGGTACCCACGGGCCGTAGCCCTCCCAGGCCTGGCCTTGGCTCTGTCCTCTCCCACCTTCCAGGCCACCGGAAACATTTTGTTTGGAAGGAGGCAAGGACCAACTGTGGCCCGAGATTTCTGCCAGAGATGGGAGAAGAAAAAGTCAGGCATACTTTATAGGGGAACACGAGAAGGAAGGACAAAGGAGGTACCCAGACATTTACTGGGCTCCGTGATATACTAGGCATTTTCTTACATCCCGTTAGTCCTCTTAACTACTCTAAGGAATGAGTGCCACAGCTGCAGTTTCAGATGAGGAGATGGAGACAGGACTGGGCAAACATCCTCCCCACCCTTGCAGAAAGACAAAGGCACAAGCAAAGCCTGTTCTCCAGAATGGGCACTGGGAACAATTGGGGAGGTTCCAGGGAGCTGTGGAAGTTTCCAGAACCAGAGCACAGCCTTGGAACTCAGCCACACCCTACTATCATCTGTGAACACCTGATTTTCTAGGGTTCACATCTACACCCCATCTCCCCAACACACCTAGACCACCACCACCAAATGGATATGCATGCTGGGACAGGAGCCTCCATTCCCCATCAGGAAGGGGAAGGCAGCCCTGTGTGGCCTCCAGGGTCTTTTCCAGCTCTATGGGCTCTGCCTCTGATCCAGGCCTGGCCTGCCCTTGTTAGCACCTCACACTCCATACTTCTGGCCCAGCCTTCCTGTTGTGCTGGTGCCTGCAGCCCACCTTCTCCACCTGGCTCAGGTGCACTGTTCTCCAAATGGGAGGACAACACTGAAAATTCTGCATCCGGCTTTCTTTTCTCAGCAGTGTGGACATCCTGCTCTCCTTTGCATGTGTGTGATCGTGAGGGTGGAGGTGAGGAGGTGTGTGAAGGGTGGTGGGATGAGATGGAAGGAAGGGCGGGTCATTGGAGTGTTGAGGGTCAGCATGGAGGGGAATCTCAGGGAAGTCACAGAAGAAATGAATGAAATTCACAGCATATGGCAGGGACCTGCCATGGGCTTGGAGGGGGTGCCACTTCATCTGAACACCCTTCCTTCCCTTTTCTCTATTTACCAAGGGCCTGCCTAGCCACAGTTAAGAATCAGGAAGAAAGTTCTCTCCAGAGTAGCGCTCTTGGAGAAAGAGATGTTAGCATGCTTCCTTAAGAAATAGTTTACATTCCATCCTAATTCCTGCTCTCTTATTTCCTACCAGGATTTAGGAGGAATGACAAACCCCTGCGTCAGAGCCCAGTACACAAACCATGTGTGACTCTGTAGGTGGGGTCACACATGGTTTGTGTACTTCAAAGCCAGCCCGATGACTTGAAAGTTCCATCTTTTCTCACTCTTCCCTCCTGCCTTTGGCAGATAAGCTGAAGCCTCAGAGCTGTTGCCATTTCTTGGGGGAGAGACACTTTGGGAATTGATCCAAGTGTGTGGACCTCACCCTTGTCTACCTTCTTCAGACCCCTCTGTAAATGGGCCTGGTATCTGCTCCATCTAAGTTAAAGGTTGCAGGATTCCTAGCTAAAAAGTTAGAAGACCCAAGTCCAAGTCCTTGGTCAGAGCAAGCCGCCAGAGCTCTCTGAGGCTCAGTTATTACATCTTGAAAACACTGATGACCTCCCCTGCTTCATAGCTGCAAGAGAGATTTGTGGACTGAAGTGAAAGGCGCCCTCAGTAGTTATAACGGAGAGAAGAGGAGAAGCCAAATCAATGGGATACCAGGTAGGACCAGGGAAGCCGTGGAGTCAGAGGTGTGGGGTAGCACGTGACCCAGAATCTGGTGAAGGTATGGGGCTACAAAAACCTACTCTTGACCTTGCTGGTCAGTCAGTGTCATTCCCTGTGCCACAGAGAGAGAAGGGAGTTGTGAAATTAGCACCCTCAGATCCTGTGGGTGCTGTATGGCTATCTCTAACCAGGGAACCCCTGCCCAGGGTTGGGTGTTACACAAAGCAGCACAATTGACAGAAATCGTTTTTCCAGCTGTCCAGCCCTGGATAGATTAAGGTGCTATCTAGATTTGAAAGATGAGTGTGTGAGAATTACTCAATCCTTCCATGTTCTGGAATGCAGCTGTATGAGTTGTAGCAAAGTATCAAAAAGCTGATTAAAATATAGTATCTTCTAGACCACTGTGGATGCTAACACCCTTAATCCTCCACAGTGGAAACTTTCAGTCAATTAACTTATGGAAAATGTGCTCAGTTATATTTATTAAAGTGAAGTGTTGGTTACAGGGAAGGAAACGCCATTCTGACATGTGTACTGTAGAGTTGAGGTCCTAGTGTCAACTTTCTGAGGAGAAAATCCTGGATCTGAAGAGTAAACTTGCTGCTTTGCAGGATTCAAAATGGCTCAATTTATTCTCTCAGTGTTGAAACATCACAGGTTCCAGAGTAAAAACTGTTGGCTTGCGTCTTTCTGAGTATTATAAGGAGTGAAGAACAGATCACATGGTTTTTAGTTTATTCTACGACCAGGCTTTAGTAAAAACAGTCAGAGCAGTCTATGACCTGGACAGCTTCCACTGCACTGTTTCCTCTTATGAAAAAAAGCTCAAAATTCTGCAAGCATGTATGTTATGATCACCCCCACTTCACTGGTGAAGGGACAGATACTTGTGGATGGTAAGGAACTCCATGAGACTAGGACAAGGCAGCTTGAACCCAGCCCTCAAGTTGTCTACCCCGAGGCCAGGGCTCTCTCTGGCTTCTTTCACTATCTTTCCAGCTGGCAAGATTTCCTTGGAAGTAATTCTGTACTTCCTGAGACCTGGTGGTCTACACTGCACTCCTAATTCCTCTGGTGGAGAGGGTGGGAGAAAGACCCTTAGGACTTTAGGTCTGATGACCTAACCTTGTGCCAATGAGTCCAGCCAGCTTTCTAGAAGCAGGGAAGGTCTGGGTGTTGGGGACGTGGAGTCTCCTCTCAGGGTGGTGCCAACAGAGGGCTCTAACATTCTTGTGTTAAGTCTGTCAGTGTGAATCGGAGAACATTCTTTGCACCAGGGCCAGAGCCTGCCCCATGTGCTGCTGCCCCTCTGTGGGAACCCAGGGAACTGTTCCCATTTGATTTGAGCTTGGGGCCACAGATAAGAAGACAAGGAAAACAGACCCAACTCAAAAGAGAGGAAGAAAAAAAGCTTTCTCTATAATCATTTCAAGGTATTTCCACATGTTAAATTTTTTTTACTACATCTTCATATTTTACATATTTGATGTCTTAAAGTAGCAGTGACTTTTGGTATATAAACAGCATTAGAAAATTAGTAGTAAATATGTTTTTTTAATGTCCTTCATTTTTACAGACTGTACAAAAATTTCACTGACTGCTCTATTTTAGTCTTCCTTTTTCCCTTCCTCCCCCACCATCGATCCTCGAAACCAATCTACTTTTTGAGTTTTGATCACTAGCTTGTAAGAAGAGTGTTCAGGGTTTAGAAGAGGGAGAGGAGATGAGCATGACAGAGAAGGAGCCAGCAAGGGGTTCGAGTGAGAGGGAGACAGGGGTTGGGATAACATTCATTTATCTAATCAATGGAAATGCAGTGAAGGTCTGTTGTCTTACATGCAGACACTGTCTAGCAGACTAGGAAATATCGTGTTAACTCATTGTCTTGGATTGTTATTCCTTAAAAATCAAACTAATGTCTGAAATGTACATCTAGAAAGTACATTACATTTTGGGTAGAAAGTTTTTTGTTTAATTTACAAGATGGCTAAGAAACTCTGGTTTTGCTGACAAACTAGCTCTGTGGCCTCTGATAAGTCACTGAACAAAGCTAGCTTCTCTTGTTTTCAACTGGAGGTCTTTCCACCTCAAAAATTCTGTAATACCTATGCATCTGTGAATCCAGAAAGGTAATGAAACTCTTTAAGGAAAGAAAGGTATTAAAACAATTTATTTTGGCCAGGTGTGATGGCTCACACCTATAATCCCAGCACTTTGGGAGGCTGAGGCTGGCGAATCATTGGAGGTCCGGAGTTCAAGGTCAGCCTGGCCAACATGGTGAAACCCTGTTTCTACTAAAAATATAAAACAGTATAAAAATTAGCCAGGCATGGTGGCAGGCACTTGTAATCCCAGCTACTAGGGAAGCTGAGGCAGGAGAATCGTTTGAACCCTGGAGGTAGAGTTTGCAGTGAGCCGATACCACGCCACTGCACTCCAACCTGAGTGACAGAGCTAGACTCCATCTCAAAAGAAAAAGTTAATTTCATCTATCTCAGCTTATCTGTAAAGATTCATTATTTTGTCAATGACTTCAGGAAACTTACGTACAGAGTGGGCTTACCTTTCTTAGGGAAAACTGGGATTTCCATGGGGAGCAAGACACTCACAGATATGGAAGACTCAGTGCTTTCCTTGAGCAGTAACACCAATTCCCACCACAGAATTTTGGACCAGTATTGCAAACTGTCTGTCCTATAACAGTTCTAGTTAAATAAAATTCCCTTCTATGAATTGAACATTGACTCCCTGGTCTACTTAACCACCAGGAAGCAGTCATTTACCTCATTAAGGGTAAACATTTCATTACTCAAGCCTGTTTGACTTTTCAGGTCTAAGTTTAGAAATTGTTTTTCTCATAAAATAATATTCTAGATAATTCTCTCTTTAAATTAATTCTACTTGGTGAGTCATTTAGAATTTTATAAAAGAAGCTAGAACAAAGAAAGAGCATCCACAAATGCTCATATGGTAATTTTAACAGAAATATGGAATAAATGCACAGTAAAACACCCATTTTAAAAGATTCTGGTATTTAGGAGGCAGTATTGATTGGATTGAAAAGCTTATCTTTAGTTCATTTTATGCTACATTGGTTTTGACACAGATGTCTTGATTTATTACTTAAATAAATAAAGCCTGAGATAGCAGAATGGGTTTCAATCCTTTTTCCTCTTGTGATTCGCCTTGGTGTTCCCATGACAACCTCCTCTGGCTCTTTTTCTTCCTTACCCCATCCTTCACCCTTCACACACACGAGTCCTGTGGATCATTGTATAGGTGCAATTCTCCTGGAAGTACAAACACCTCAGCATCTCAGTCCGTCTATAGAAAGAAGAGGGCCAGGAGTACAAGGACACCTTCACAGCTGTGTCCGTGCAACGTGTTGAAAAGCGATTGGATGGGGAGCTGGGACACAGGGGTTCAATGCAACTCTAGTATGTCCGTTGTCATTTTTTTCAGCTCTCCTCTGCTATCTTCTGCCTGCCCTTTATTCAGCCTTCTCTGAATCCCTCTTTCTCTTTCTGCCCATTTGCTTACTCATCTCCCTTCTCCGCATGGAGAAATTTGGCCAACTCTATTCCCAGGTTTACATCTCTTATATTTAGAAGACAATCCAGGCTGAGACTGAAATCTCTTAGGCCTATCTTTTTGGGAAGAGAGTTTTTGGTCTAACGTGGGCTGGTACCCACTCAACTTACTGTGGTGGGCACAGAGGAAGGTGCAGCTCACGTTGTACTAACAAGTGTGCTGATATCCTGAAGGGGGTTATGCCACGGGGATCTGGGCAAAAGATGATTTCTAAAAGGTGATGGGAAGCAGAGAACAGAGGAGGAAGTACAGACAGCCAACCCAATAAATGCCCAGAAGCACTTGCAAAGAGTTGTCAGCTGAAAGTATAAAGTGATTGCTTTGTATAAATGTTCTATTTGAGCTCTCTCATATTTTACATTTTGAGATTAAATTATACATTAATATATTAATGTAGAATCTATAAATGTATTTTAAAATTATATATTTCATAGCTTTTGGGAAGATTTTTTAAAACAGCATCCTTGAACTTTGTAATATACTAGAATCAAATCATTACCTGATATGATTTATAAATAGATTTGCTTCTACAATCTGCTACTGGTTATGATATAGCAAAAATTTTCTCTTTGGAAGACCTTTTTTTTCCTAGCTGGGTTCAGTAGCTTATGCCTATATGCCTAGCACTTTGGGAGGCCGAGGCAGGAATCTCAGTTGAACCTAGGAGTTTGAGGCTACAGTGAGTTTGGATTGTGCCACTGCATTCCAGCCTGGGCAACAGAGCAAGACTCTGTCTCAAAAACAACAAAATTTTTTTCCTTGTAGATTTATAGAGACTATAGGAAGTTATGAGACCTACAAAGACTTAGTGAAAGCAGGTTGTGTAGTAAACAGATGACTATCATGGATTCCGCATGTGGTCCCTCCAACTTTACGTCAATTCTCTGGGATTCCTGACCTAAAATTCCAGAAGTCAGAACACCAAAAAAGTAGCTACATTCCCTGAATTGGGTTATACTGAACCTTGAACTGTACCATATGATTTAGCACATCTATTAAATAAGCATAAGTAAGCAAATATATTTATCACACAATGATTTGATTCTAATCTACTACAAAGTTCAAGGATGTTGTTTTTAAAAATCTCCCAAAAAGCTATAAAATGTTTAATAGCTTCCCTAAAATTTGAGAGAGCTCAGATAGAACATTTATACAAAGAAATCACTTTACACTTATAGCTGACAACTCTCTGCAAGTGTTTCTAGGCAAATGAAAAAGGTGGGCAAATGAAAGAATGATTGCTACATGGAGTCGACATTGTCGGATAATTGCGGGGCTGCTTTTTTTTTTTTTTTTTTTAGGACATTCACCTTCCTTCCTTCTAAAGTCATCAGCATCTGTGATTCTTTTCTGGCTGCCCTTCATGTTGTGCATATTTCCTGTGATTATTTTTAGTCCATTTTAAGTTTTTGGAATTTAACTTTTAATTTTCAGTTTGTGTGACTTT